TATAGCTACATAAGCGTGTTTATATAAAAAAAAATTGGTACATCGGAATGGAAAAGAGCGGACAAAAAGAGAGAAAATAAGTTACAATCTCAGGAATTCTAAGCCATTTGCGTCTTCCCAAAGAATCTTTTCGAGGCCTATAGGAGGTGATTGTAGAATAGTTAGTCCCCTCGGAGCCAAGTGTGCCAAGTTAGCAAGAAAATCTGCACACCTGTTGCCCTCTCGTAGAATATGTCGTAAGGTCAAACCTGGACAGTCCTGCATTAAGTAACGACAATCTTCCTTAAGTGTGGCCGAATTATCATCTTCTTCCGATGTGTGCTTCTTAACTGCACGGTACTCATGTATACTAACTTTTTACATTTAGGTCACCCAGACACGGTACTCATGTACACTAACTTTAGTTATATATATTTTTTTACATAAGTTATATTTTAGTCATAATTTTCAAAAACTCTATTTAAGAAGTTGTTTATTAATTAGAAAATTCTCAATGGTAATTTGATGAAATAATACAAAACAGCGGTCGTCTCCCTCTAGTTAGGGTTTTAGTTCTTCTGTTGATCTGATCGATTGAGCGGCTTTTCGATTTGGGGCTTTTCCTTGTGACGAGTTTCTTGGTGCGAACAAGCTTGACAAAGTGAAGGTCATGGACGAAGCTTGGGGTTAAAAGCTGGAACAGATCTGGTTTCAAGGTCATCTGTGATTAGTAGCGAAAGTGGAGGCTTGACAGAGAACATAATGAATAAGAGACGTGGTGAGGAAGAAGCTACAGTATTAGCTCTTCCCCCTTGAACCGCCACCATGGAGTATTGGAAAATCTAGGGTTGGAAAGAAAACGAGTGATCTCTATTTTAATTCCGTTTTATTTTTGTTTGTTTGTTTTTTAATTATTTCGAACAACATGTTGTTGTTATTGTTGTAAGATTCTTGCATTAGGATTGGATGATGAGAGGTCTGCTTTGAGTGTCTTTGGCTCATTTAGGCCCATTACAGGATCATCGTGTCATATTGCTTGTTTGAAGGTGATTGACTCAAAGTCTGGTTCGAGTGCTGACGGTTGGTTGTGGTCCTTTTGCCTGTTTACTCCCTATCTGAATGTTATGATATCAATTTAAGCCACATTCTTCCAAATAAAACTAGAAAACTCTCAATTTTCTGGAAAATTGAAAAATGAAAAACATTTTTGTTGGGATAATGGGCCAGGTTGAATATCACTGGTCTGTTATATATACACTTATACCCGAGAGTGGGTCTCACTAGTCCAGAATACAGACCGGGTAACACAAACTAGTACGATCGAGAATATCTAATTACTTATCGGGCACGCCGGGTGACCCATAAAGTTAGTATTAATCATAAATTGGATCAACCCGAAGTAGCACTTAATTAGTAGATATGTTGTAAACGCCTATAAATATGTCATCAACTGTCTTAAAATCACAATGCTATTTCCATTTTATTGAATTGTTTTTGCTTTATCTCTAGCTTATTTTATACCAACAATGTTTACTTTATTCTTTTCGGAAATTAGAAAATTATACGTTTCTACTTTCTTATATCTCCAAATTAAATTTGAAAAATTCACTTTAGTCATTCTCAAAATTTAAGAAATAGAGAGCTCTATGCTAGATATATGGGAGGGAGCAACCATATTACATTTAAAATATGGAGAAGGGTAGTAGGTGCCAGTCGTTTACCCATCAATTGATAATGTTAAAATATAGCCCATTCAAAAACAACCAATGGAGTATTGTTAAAACTATCGCATTGTTAAAAGGAAAAGGCGCATATGAATGTCTAGTTTCATGTTCAAGTAGATCATTAATGTTTTCAAAGTACCTGATGGATTTTCAAGGTGTATTAGATCTATAATGTCAAAATTAAAGTTTTGAAATCATTTAAAATGTTGATTTAGTATTTAATTGTGAAAATGAAAAACAAAACAAAACAAAAAAGTAATTGCACCAAGTATAATGTAGAGTGTAGAGTGACCCTTCATTATTACAAGTATTGTTCTAAAAATCGGTGCCTCAAGTGCAAATTAATTAGTGCCTAACGAATTCTAGGACAATGATTAAAAGTAAAAATGATTTGACTTATTGTGTAAAACAAACAACAAAGTAAAAAAATTAATTGTTTTTGAAAATCCAATGCATTAATTTTAAAATATGTAGGCGTGTAGCAACATAAGAATCAAAACATTTTGACAATGAGACACCATGTATGTAAAAGTTATACGATATATATGTTGCAAATACAAAGTATGTGTCACAAGTATTACTAAACTTATGTGTTACGAACAATTATATACGAACAGCGTACGTTTTGTCATTTTCGAACTTAATGATTTTACAATTTTTATTTAGCTTCATGGCCAATGAAGTGATCAAATACTACGGTATACATATACACTATAAACGAAGAAGTTAGATATATAATACGGAGTAATATCTAAAAAACTAAAGACCAACATATTACATATGGAGACAAAAAAATTAAGGCTTGTTGCCTTTAGTTTATGATTTAGGCCAGACTCCCCATATCAAGATACAAACCCGATTCATTGTAATAGTGTTCATTTACTAAGACAGTAAGACTACGTCTGTTTACATGAAATTTTCATGGGCAAATGTTTTGTTTTGTTTGCACGCGAAAACATCTTTTCCCTAAAAGGTAAAGTTCCATGAGTATAGGATATAATCGATGTATGTTTGGAGGGAAATTCAGTGCTTTTAAAATACGGCATCTTGTCAACATGGAGCAATTAAAACATCGCAATTGAATAATTGCAATATAGACAAATAATGAAATAATGACTTGGATCAATATAGTACATACTATATTCTCATTTTTTTAATGAGTAGAGTAACATTCACCCTATTTGATCCTACCAACTCACAAAGAAGGAATGAATAAGAAGAAAATTTTCTTATTTGGGGGTTTGAAAATATGCAGGGATGCTGAAGCTGAATGTGGACGCTGCTATTCGGGAGGGTTTTTGCGGGCTGGGTTGGTGTCTAAGGGATGATGAAGGCGGGTTCGTGGCTGGGGCAGCTCGCCGGTGGCTGGGAAAACTCTCGGTTTTGGAGGCTGAATTAATTGAAATTCATGAAGCTTTGAGTTGGTTACATGATTCATTATTCAGTATGTAGGGATGTGGAAGTCGAATCAGATGCATCCCAAGCCATCTCGGAAATCTTGAAGGGATCTAGCATTTCTTCTTATGGGATGGTGGTAGACGATATTAGAGATCTTGCTAAGAACTTTTATAGCATTTCATTTACTTATGTTAGACAGTCAGCGAACAAGGCGGCTCACGCTATGGCTAAGGCGGTCTGATCTATGTCTGATCCCCCGTATTGGTTTACTATTCCCCCGTGTTTTAATCCACTTTCCCTAAATAAAATGTATGTGATGATTTTGAAGGCTTTTTGAAACCTGGCCTCCGAAACCCTTCAAATACTCCATTTTCAAGTTCCCCCAAATTAGGCGATTCTGAAGGATCGTTAATTAAATGACAATTTTAGCTAAATTTTAAATCAATATAAATTCAACTATTTCAATTCATCATATATGTGAAGTGATTTTAATTATAACTCATTTAAAGAACCCCCTTCTTTCAAATTTATTAATTACTCCCAAATACAAAGAAAAACTCCGTATATATCACCCTCCTATCCCTCCCCCCTCCAACAACATACCTCCAAAGCATTCCCCTTCCCTTCAATCCAAACTCCCAAACATACCCTTAGTCCTATTATGTCTCCTACTTCTTGAGTTAATGGTCATCTACCCTTTTTGGTGGTGTTTGTAAAATGGTGTTTGAGCAAAAAATGACCGCTTGACCATTTTTAGTAGGGGTGGGCAATTCGGTTTACAGTTCGGTTTTCTTCGGTTTCGATTTATTCGGGTTGAGAGAATTTGTACCAAACTAAAACCATTTGTGTTTCAGTTTGGTTTCGGTTCGGTTTGAAGTTCGGTTTACCAAACTAAAAAGTATTATGTTTAATTTAGTTTGATTTGATTTGTCTGCTTATGTTTATTATTTTATTTGATTAAGTTCTATATTTTAGAATTAGAAAATGAAAGTAGTAGTCCATCTCATCTTTTTTTAATTTATTGATTATTTAAATAAAATGTAAAGGAAATAAAAGATAGAAAAATAAATAATAAAATATTATAAATTAAAACTTCTAACATCTTTTTTATCACTACAAAAAATTCACTTCTTACAAAAAATAAGATAGTTGATTAGCATATATAATATCACATAAAATATTAAAAAAAAAACCTAAAAGATTCGGTGGCACAAATGTTGTAATTTTCACAATTTTATTCAAATGAATCATGCAAAAATATAAATGCAATTTGCTATTGTTATCGTCAAACATAATAAATACAAATATGTTGTATTAGCTAACTTTGTCATAATGAATGTATGAAATATGTAAAAGTTAAAATAATACGACTATATGCTTAAATATGTATTTTCATGTCTAAATTATTTATTTATATCTTAAAAATGAAGAGTGAAGATAAATACAAATTATATATATATATATATATATATATATATATATATATATATATATATATATATATATATATATATGTTGTTCGGCGTTCGGTTCGGTTTACGGTTTTTCCGTTTTAAACCAAACCAAACCAAAGTTCCAAACTATTCGATTTGAGCAAATGTTTAGCAAACAGTTTACTTAAGTAACCCAAACCAAACCAAATCAAACCACCAATTTTAATAATATATGAAAGTTTTTTTGAGTTTATTTAGTTCGGTTCGATTTTGTTTGGTTTTTATCGGTTTCGGTTCGGTTTAATACGGTTTGGAAGAAATAGTACCAAACTCAAACCAAATTGCATACGGTCCGGTTTCGGTTCGGTTTAGTTCGGTTTGGTACGGTTCGGTTCGGTTCAGTTAAACCAAACCGTTATGCCCATCCCTAATTGCTTTTAATAAGTAACAACGTTTTTTGATAATTGGTAAATAGTTGTTCAACCGTAGCGCTGTTTTTATAAATGATGGCTTTTTTATTCAAACAGGATAATTTGATTTCAAGACTTCAAAAGCCTTTGTATGTACAAATATACCATCCAATACGCAGCACTCCATATGTTTTATTTCCTATCAATCTTGTAAATTTAGGCAGGTCCTGAAAAAATGGAGGAACAGTAAATCAAGCAACCATACATGGCTTCCATACATTGCTACATCTATAACTAAACAATCAATAAAACCAAGTTTCAAGAAAAGAGGACCGGTACTGAATCAAGAAAAGTATCATCACAATCAAAGCCGCCACCGCCCACGGCGACATCCCCTCGGACGGGAAGCAGTTGTATATGGTCACCCTCCCTTGACGGTCCCACGACAGTGCTTCATCGGACAGCCATACGAGGTTCTCCGCGCTTGACAACCACCGCACCGCAAACAGCAAGATTAGAGGCAAGGCAATCAGCACCCAACCAAAGTCTTCCTTGGCCGACTCGGCCACTTCCTTGTAGGATACAAACCATTGCAAGGAAAGGAATGTGCATAGGACTGCTAAGATTGAAAGAACAGGAAACGGTACAGGTCTCAAAGAAAATGCATCCAGAAATGTTGTCATCCTTAATCCATTGATTTGGAGCAAGCTTCTTCTGTATGTTACATTAATTAAAAAGACCACTCTGCTTCCTGTACGGCTGAACTAATAGATGGGATTTTATATGAGGAAAATTAAAGTGTCCTTTAGTAGTAGTAGTTGGCATTGGCATGACTTTGGCTTTTGATCAACTCAAATCATGAAAAATAGACACATGTGATCGAATCGTCTCTTAATTTATGGATGTGTTATTTATTATCCTGGTAACTTTTATACCTCAAGTATTGTTTAGTTTACACATATGGTAACGTCATACAATATGTTTACACGAAGTATTATTCTTGAGTCAAATTAATGTTTTATTGGGCTTTAATTATTTATAGATCTAGTTTGATTTGGTGCAATTACTTTTTCCCAAAAAATGACTTTGATGTTATTTTTCTAGTGTGGCTTTTGTCACGCCATTCATACTAGGCTTCTAATGTTTTACGATAGTATTATTTTCATCTCCTACGTAAGTTTAATGTGTAATTAATATGTTCCTTATTTCCCCACATTCATTTATTAAATAACGAGAGATTTTCCAAAATAGGAGTAAATGGAGTTTGTAATTTTAAAGTAGAACTACTATGCTTTTATTACCGAAATAGGACTAACATGACAGTATATGTTGTCATTTTATAGGCGTGGCTGTCAAATAGTTGCAGTACAATGCATTTAAGATGACAATAATTATTATAATTAATGAGATTATTCTTCAATCATGACAGTACTTTCACACATGACAGTAACAATTCCTATTTCGAGAAGAAAAACACAGTAGTCCTATTTTGGAATTTCAAACCACATCTAATAAAATATGTAACAATATGTTTTTTAACTTATTATAAATTGCCTTAAATAAGAGTAAAAACGTTTTCAAATTTCAAAATAGGTATTTAATGTTTTTATTCTATATGACTTATTTTGCCTAGTTTGGAAAAACTGTCTTGTTTAAAGCCCAATAAAACCAAACTTGACAGAAATTTACTCTTATGTAAAGAATAAAAAATATGATAGTTCTATTTTGAAATTTCAAATCTTTTTACTCTTATTTAGGAAATTTCTCCTAACTAATCTATTGTTCTCGTTTCACCATTCTCATCTCCAACAAGCATTTGCTTCTACTCCGTACTATAATCATGGATTTTCTATTGACTGAGTGTAAAATAATCTAACGTGCCTACACGAAATTCCGCTTAACCCCCCGTAATTCTTTTCCATTACACTAGATGGTGGCTAATATACGTGTTAAAATGATGATGTTACGAGGTCGATTTTCTTCATTTAGTGCAATAAATTTTACGGAGTATCATTTAGTGCATTGGAATTATTTCCTATCCTAAAACCCACTATGGCTGCGTTTGTTTTTCGGCGGATTCTTGCCTACCCGCTGCAAATTGCAGCGGTTTGCAGTTCAAAACAATCAGCGGATTGCTCAAACCGCTGCTATCCAAACGGGTCCTATATGCACCTATGTTTAAGACCAATTTTGTATTTCAATGCTCTTTGTTTTTACGGATGTAAGGCCATTTGTAGTGTTAGTGTATTAGGAGTTCAAAATGTTAAATTTGAAAGTTTTAGACTCCCAATTGAGTGTAGTGAGAAATTAAAAAAAGGTTAAAAGTGGGAAAGAGGATGCAGGAGTTAAGTATAGAGAGGGGATTGAGAGAGAGGGAAGAAAAGGAGAAATAAAAAAATGAAGGCCGACCGGCCGGCTGGAGTCGGACACATGAGTGGGTGCGGATGACGGGTATGTTTGGCACAACTAGCTGAAAAGATATTTTTGTGAGCTTTTTAGTAACTGTTAGCTTTTAGTGACTGAAAAGATCTTAAAAAGAAAAGGTGATAGCTGTTTGGTAAAAAGCTGACTGTTTGATTTAGTTCGATTTGGTATACAAGCTGTTAGGACAATTAATACTAAAAGTCACGAGCTTTTCTCAGATGTTACACCCGGTAGCATCTCAAAAAAGATCTTTTAATTTTTGAAAAGATCCTAAAAAATGTCATGCCAAACATACAACTAGAGTCTTTTAAAGTCTTTTTAAAGAAAAGAGAAGCTAGAAGGCAGAGGTTTTTGTGTGTCAAACATGGCCGACATCTTGCTGACATAATCCCCGAGTTATAAAACTCTAATTTTTTAAGCTTTTATAATTTTTTTATTTGTTCTCCAAAATTTTTAAAAAATATACTCCATATCAAAATTCATAAAATTTTATGATCTTTAATATGACACCAATATTACATTGAGATATTCGAATATTACATTGAATTTATTTTAAATTTTTAATAAAACTGCAAAAATTAAAAAAAAAAACGTTTTATTTAATTTTTAATATTGAAATGTGTTTTGTTTTTAATTTCATATTTATTCATAAAAAAACAAAAACAACATTACTTATAATAATTTAATTAATGTTTTAGTAAAGTGGTTTGTAAAGAATATGTTGAGCGTATTTTATGGATCATCATGAAATGCATTGAAAAGCGATATGGACATTGTCGAAAAACTATTTTCGTATTGATGGAGTCTATATTTAAATTTTTAGACGATGCATGGATATAGAGAATCTAATTGTTTTAAAATAATTATAGTCACATGTTAAAAAATAAACATAATTGATCATATTTTAAGAGCTACTGGTATAATAATTTGTAGTAATATAGGTACTTACATACCGTACGTGCAGTGGCGGACTCAACATATATGGGGAAAATGGGGACTGCTGCCCCTCCCCCAATTTGTTTCCTAGGTAGTTTTACCTTCAAATTTAATATATGTATTTGTATATATTCTTTTATACTGGCGTCGCTTCTCGTGAAAATTCTTCTAATTCACTCGTGGGAAATACCAAACATATTTTCGTTTTTATCCTCTATCCTAGCAAATACCGGATTTACGAAAGCATGGGTATGTACCGATAAGGAATTAGACCAAGACCAAGTAGAACAGAAACACAAACGATTTCAACTTATCCATTTAGTTTTTTCAGCTATAAAAATTTGAAATCATAGTTACAATCAGTAATAAAAATGATATTGCCTATTTGTGTAAAAATAGAGAACTATTTCTAGAGAATAATTTATATTACTGTGGCCGTAAATTTGCTGAGCCTCTGTTATATTCTTTTGTGTTTGGAATCTTGATATTAGTGAAGAACAAGAGTAACACGGTAGTAGTCCAACAGTAATATCGAAACGAAGGTGGGCGTAGCTCAAGTGGTAGCGAGGGAGTGCCACAAGGGTTAGGTCCCGGATTCGACTCTCGGCAACTGCGATGAGAGGTTACTCAATAGAGGACCGGGGACGGAGCCCCACTCTCTATCTGTCAGATTGTGATTATAGTTCAATTTACATTCTCCCATCGTGCCGTCCGGTCGGTGTTGGAGGGCCCTTAGGGATGGAGAGTCATCCTTTTTTTTATAGTAATATCAAAACGAATTATAACTTTAAGAAGCTAATTTATTAAATCTGATGACTATTAAACAATTAAAGAACGTATAACACACAATAATTTTTAAGCAATAAATATAGTATTAAGCAAATAGACATTTCGTTTCAGTTGTACCACTCCATTAGGCTTTAGTTTACTGGTGTTTTTTTAATAAAATACGTAACAATACGGATGGTACATGTATTATACGGTTCATCTTTAAAGTACATGAATTTTCAGTATTTTCCGAAAAATTCCTAAACGGGAGTATTATACGCGAATTATACGTTTGAGTGTATTATTCGTGTATTATTAAGTTTAATTTCTACATGCTTAATTGTTAAGAATGATTAATAAAATGTGTTCTTAATTAATTAATTAATTGTAAAGACCACATCAACTATTTAAAGGAAATAATTAGACGTTAATAACTACATAATAATGGTGTTCGTATAAATGTGATTTTTTAATATTAACGACCACATCATCTATAATAGTAACTTAGTCATATAACTCATACTAACTCATACTAACTTAGTCATATAAATGTGATTTTTTAATCTATTTTTTTTAATAAATAAATTGCTCCATATGTCTCAAATTGAGTTATGAAATTGACTTTTTTTATCACATTGATTCATTTTATTGACTAGATAAGGATATCAATTCTTATTCAAATTATAATTTGAATTTTATAACTTTATAGAGATTTTAATGTAATTTTTAAATATGTAAATTTTAACTATTAAAACTGAAATAATAATCCAAGTTCAACTTTAACATTGGTTGACAAAATATGTTGACTTTGAAAAACAATTTGGGACAGAGGTTACATAGTTTTATATATTTGAGTAATAATTGTAAAAAACACTATTTAAGATCCGGTTTGCTGATCGGAAATTTCTTTGTTTTTCTGGAAAACAAAAAACTCGAAAACATTTTTGTTAGGATAATGGGCCAGGTTGAATACTATTTGTCCGTTACACCCGATAACGAGCCTCACTGGTCCAGAATACGGTACGGGTAGCAAAAATCAATCTGGGGTTCTTTAGTTACTCATGGAAGTAGCATTTAATCAGTGGAAATGTTGCAAATGCAATAAGGATGTTTTCTTTTGGACTGAAATTTGCTGATGTGGTATGGTATGATATGGTCTGGTCTGAACTGGTCTGGTTTGGTCTATACTGAATTATCATTGTTTTATTTCTAGCGTATTTTCTACCAACAATATTTATTTTACTCTTGTCCAAATTATGAAATATATGAGCTATTTCTATTGTCAAAATATTATAAAAATATTAGTAAAAATGGTAAGAATTCATAGAAAATGAAAAAACTATTAAAAATAAAGGAAATAGTTAGGTGCCCTAGTTGGCGCCTAGGCGCCCGCCTAGGTGGGCTAGGCCTAGGCATCCAGTCACTGCCCGACTAGCGTCAACGCCTTTTAGAAGCTGTTTTTATGAAAGTCGGAAGACTAAATATGGAAATCTTTAAAGACATGTACTCAATGCGTTTTTCGCAGGACTACAAGTGGAAAAAATTAAGGTCGAGTACCAAATGTGTCAGTGACATAATAGTCTGATGACTAAAAGTGGTAAAAACTCTATTGTAGCATCAACTTATTAGTTTCGAGGTTTCTTTTATTTTTCGATACCCCGTTAAAATAATTCTAGATCTGCTACTACGTTTAAGGCAAATTTCGAATTTGAATGCTCATTGTTTCACCATGTCATGTTGAAAAAGAAACATACTTGATCATATTTTGAGAATTGTAGTTAGGGATGGCAACGGGGCGGTTCGGGGACGGGTATACCATTACCCGTACCCGTCCCGTTTGATAAAAAAAATTCCCCGAAACCGCCCCGTTACCCGTCGGGTATTTTTTACCCGCGGGTAACCGTTTTATTAAAAAAAAAATTCCCTTCAAAATTAGTATAAATCCTAAAATGATGATTAACTACTTATCATTAACCACCTAAATTAAAAAATAAATAAATAAATAGTACCACAGATAGAGTTAAAAAACAAAATTAAATAGTACCACAAAATCATAATTTAAAATTTAAAGCTTGATATAATTTATAGCAACCAATCAAAATTAATTTAATCATCCATACACCTGTACAAAATTATTAGCAATTACATAAATTAAAGCAAGGTAGAGTAATCTAAAATATTTGGACTTTAAACTCATACGTGAGTTTTATGAAATTTATTGGGTGAAAAATTAAAAGAGTCACAATGTGAAAATTGCGTAGAAAAAATCACGAAAATCAAATAATCAATGTGTGAAGAAAATAAATCTTGTAGAAGTTAACAAAGGAAGGATGATGAATGATATTGAAAATTTAAAATCTAAAATCGTGAACTTTGAGCACCAACTCCTCATAATTGCAAAGGATAACAAATAAGTTGAATATTGTTTCAAAGTATTAGAGGGAATAAGTGTCATATACTAATGTACTACTACTCATATATACTTAATATATTAAATAATAAATACATAAACTATTAAAATATATAAGTTAATTGTGCGGGTCGGGCAATGGTGCGGGTAACCGTATCCAAATTAAACGGGGCGGGTAACGGGGCGGGTAACGGGGCGGGTAGGTATAAACCCATAACCGCCCCATTACCCGTTTACATAAATCGGGTATTCTCCGCTCGGTACTCGTTACCCAGTCAAAGCAGTTTTCCCCATTTTGACCGATTCGGTTCGGTGTGGGTATCCGTCGGGTCGGGCTAAATTGCCATCCCTAATTGTAGTAAGTTTTAATTATATAGAGAAATCATCATGTCAGGCCGGCCGGACCGGGAGAGCCGTCCTGCCGAGCCCTTTTGGCAACCTTCCCGGTGGAAGTTTTTGATGAAATTTTTTGAGCATGTTCCTCATCAAGTCTAGTTTGTCCATACTAAATTTCAGCTCAATATTTGATCGGGAAAACATTCAAATCTGTTTTTGAAGTTGACTGCATTTTTATATGTATATTTTGACGCAGTCAACTTCAAAAAATGATTTGAGTGCCTTCCCGATTGAATTTTTAGCTGAAATTTGGTATGGATAAACTAGACTTGATGAAAAACATGCTCAAAAAGTTTCATCAAAAAATGCCACCGGGAAGGTGCCCAAACGGGCTCGACCGGACGGAGGTTCCCGTCAGGCCGGCCTGACAAGAAGAGTTCTCTAATTTTATATAGGTATTTATCCACCTTAAAAAACACCACGGGAGTCGCAACAAGATTTGATAGAGTAATTCACTATCAAGGGAAATACCTAACCAGTTTCCATTTTTATCCTAAAATGTACCATTACAGAATTAGATAATTACTAACAGACGATTTGCCAACTATACTAATTAGTCCGCTGTAGCAATTAAACTTGCTGGCAATTGCAATCTTCTGTTACTATCCGGGTTCGAATCCCGGCAGCGGAACTTTTTTGTTTCACTTCAAAGTTCCAACCCAAATTATGTACTATGGACTACGGAGTAGCTTATATAGCTTATACTAGTAACTTCGAATTCTATTTTACTAGAATTTTGTTTTTGTGTTTAAGTAGAATATTAAGTTTAATTTCAACATGCATAATTTTTTATTTTCGAACTTATAAAAATATTTTCAAGAATAATTAATACAAGCATTTAATTTATTATTTCACCTGATTTTTTATGTGTGCTTAAATAGAATATTTAATGGAAACAATTACAAATGTATAGCTACACAAGTGTGTTTATATAAATGTGCTCTTTTAGTTGTAACAACCATATTGATTATAATAGTAACTTAGTCATAAATTTTTATGTTCTATTATTTATATCACCGTACTCATACTAAATTTAGTTATATATTTTTAAATAAGTTATATTTTAGTCATAATTTTAAAAAACTCTATTTAAGAAGTTGTTTACTAACTGGAAAATTTTCATTTTTTTCTTAAAATATAAAAACTGAAAAACATTTTTGCTGGGATAATGGGTCAGGTTGAATATTATTGGTCTGTTATACCCAAGAGTGGGCCTCATTGGTCAAGAATACTGTCCGGGTAGCACAAATCAGTACGAGAATATCTAATTACTTATCGGGCACGCCGGCTGACCCATATTAATCATAAATTGGGTCAACCCGAAGTAGCATTTAATTAGTAGATAAACTAGATATGTTGTAAACGCCTATAAATATGTTATCAACTGTCTTAAATCTCCAAATTAAAAATTACTCTTTTCGGAAATTAGAAAACTATACGTTTCTACTTTCTTATATCTCCAAATTAAATTTGAAAAATTCACTTTAGCCATTATCTGAAATTGAAGAACAATAGATGATTTTTTTTATACCCTAGAGGGTCAGGGGGAGGGGCATAGGGGGGTTGGGGTAAACTGGGCTCAATCTCACTCCATTGAAAATTGAACTCAGGACCTCCTATAGGGAGAGTGAGTCGGCACTAGCTGACCTGGACCGCTTAGTCATAGAAATAGAGAGCTCTATGCTAGACAACTGCGCAGTTATAAGCGTGATTATCTTCAAGAATTCATTTGAATGCCTTCCCGATTGAAGTTTTAGCTAACATTTGGTATGCGTAAACTAGACTTAATGAATAAGATGGTAAAAAAAATTCATCAAAAAATGCGACCATGAACCGCTCCAAATGGCGACGTCCGGACAGAGCCTCCTATATAAAGACTTATTTGACCTTTTTCCCTATTTTCTTCATATAAAGATATTTCACTGTCCTTGATGTTTCATAAATTTGAACTACTTTGTTTCACTTATGAAAATAATTTGAGAGTGTAATAAACCAGAAAGCAGGTCATACACTTTAGTTTCAACCAACGCAAGAAGGCCTCTCACAGTTTCAACAAGTGATATACCTCCCAAGAAACCATCAATAGACAGGGAAATACACAATAGTAGCCATATTTACAAAAAATTCAGAAGGTATTAGGTAAGTAGTAGTAACTGAGTGGTTTCTATATCAGCACATTATGTGAAACTGTTATTATTCCCTCCTACCTACTCCAACACATACATTGATCTCATCAGATTTCAGCATATCATGGGGAAGGTGGATCCAGCAGAGTGGAGGCCGAAGCAATGGGTTCGTGCACAACTGAGTTAGTGGACACTGAAACAGCATTCCCTTCCAAACACATCATCAAACCACCCAGTATCTCCCTTAACACTTTCTTGAACTCCTCCTCTTTTACCATTTTCCCATCATCACCATCCAACATCTTCAGTGTTTCATCAATTACCTTGTCCATCTACAAAGTTTTTATTAGTTAATACTCAAATACCAATTTACTCAATGTTTCATAAAAAAAGCTTGCAATTGACAGCATCTGAGTCATAAGAGACCTCCAGTATTTAACTTGTGTCTCTGTAACTTATAGACTTATAGTTAATCTTTAAAAACGAAAGTCGTATGCATACCTCATCAACAGCACCTATGGGAGGTAGGCCAGCTGCTGGAGCCAGCAGATCAAGGGTCACACGGAGGTATTTCTTTGACATTTTCCCATGACGATCTTTAGGCACATTTTGAATAGAAGAATCCAGAGTCTGCAGCATATCAACATAAGTACGTAACTGAATATTAAGTTAATATGTTCTTAGCTATACCGGATGAGGAGGGTTTTCTTTATTTAATCGGATGTCCCCGAGGGGACAGAGTTTTCTTTATTTAAGCAATCAGATTCCCTATTTTGTGTCATAGGTTCTTTCCTATAGGACTTGGATCTTAAAGTGATTGTATAATACTAAAGGAGCTAACCTTATCAAGTTCATATTTGTTGGACAACAACTTCTTAATGCCACTTCCATCAAAGGTGTTCTCAGTATGAGCAACAATTACTGGATGTTCCTTCAGACGTTGAGCAACATTCTCTGCCACCTTCTTAAATTCAACCATGAACGCGTCTTTTGTAACCGGATCGTTGACTGTAGTACTGCATGGTCCCACAGCTGGTTCCACAATGTTGCCCATTACCTACAGAAGAACCAAATATCCATAAAATATACAGAAAACAGAAAGTCTCTAAAAATATATACCCAAGAAGATTTACTACCCAAGAATCCGAGGTAGGAGGCACGCCACGATCGACTGTCAGTTTCTTGAATGCACTCACAATGTATTGTTTCAGGGAGCCACCATGCAGTTCTATCTCAGAGAATATAGAAACCATGTCTGTCTCAAAAGATGGATTGTTTAAAAACTCTAGCAGATCTTCACCGTCCATGCGAAGAATTACAATAGGGTCCCTCTTTAAACCAGTAGCCATGCCTAGTAGAATATCTCCTAGAACCTCTTTGAACTCACTCTTACTTACTTTCTCTTGTTTTCCATGTGTGAATTCATTAAGAACCTAGGTTCAGATTAGTGAAAGAATTAATTTTTGAGTGAAAGAACTGAAGAGAAGACTTCCAAGAATGAAATAGATAACTGATACTAGTATTTGCCAATATAATGCACAGTTAGACTAGAGAAGACAGTATTGGATTATACAAATGAAACCATATATGTAGCACTTCACCGGCCATTGCACTCCCCCTTAAATCAGGTGGACAGTTTTACACATTCCTAAATATTACATCAGGGGGGAAAAGCCAACAACCAAAACACAATAAACAGTAAACAAATCCGTTCTAAAGTGAATTCCTGACTAATACAAGCACTGAGAATGCCATGTCCTTGTCATAACTCACAAGATATACTTTAAGAAAGAAACGACCCACATCCACTGAATACTTTTGCAACAATTTAAGCACAGCTTAAGCAACAACTCATCATATATGACTAATATGAGATTTTGTAAAGGTGAGAAAAGAGACAGGACACAAATCAGTCCCTACAAATACCCACTAACTAGAATAATCAATTGATCACAGAATCTACTTTCTTGGTAACCAAATAGGCAAAAAGTCCAAAGTTTTTGTAAAGGAGACAAAAAGGGATAAACTTTTCTCCAAGATTTCTTACAGGAGTGAGTTTCCTCAAGAAGAAATTCAAGAAAAGTGAAATTTCAGGCAAAAGATGACAGAAATGGGAAGGGAAAGTGGCACCTCAGAGTAAATATGATCAGAGTGGGGAGAAGAGCCGATAGCAGGCAACCCTATAGCAGCACCAATGTCGGCGACGGCGGGCTGGAGTTCCTTGACGGAGAGCTGGCCGTCGCAGTCTTTGTCGAGTTCTTGGAACTTGTGATCGACAAAGCTCGTAAACACCTCTTCGTTCCCAACCAACTCTATTATATCTGACCCGTCCATAACTTCTCCGTCCAGACCTTTCTTTTTCATCTTCACAGTTTTCGCACTCTGTTTTTTCCTTTCTCCGACTTCCCGTGACTTAGCTCTGGTAATCTGGTTGCCCTTTTTGAAGCCGCATTCAAAGTATAAATGTGATGTGAAGAAGAGGGGAAGCGGGACACGGGGATGCTGGCGGTTAGGACAGCTTGCGTCGACGGTTTGGGCAAACGGGTAGAAATATTGAATTAATTTTTGATAGATTCTATGCTAAATTTACACGTCTTCATTCAAGTCAAATGCCCAGTTTCAATCTTTGACGGCAAATCAGGGGCATTATGTAATTCCAATTCCAATATGTTCCTTCTGTCCGCCAAAAGTCATTTAGGCTATTTTTATTTTATTGATACTTTCGTTCCTGAAAAGTTTGTATAGTTTTATGGTTTTGGATAATGATTTAATTACTATAGTTTTGTGGAAGTTATTATATAATTTAAACTTGATTATATTTTTGGTTTATTAATTTTCGCATTCAACTTTTTCACAAAAAATGTAACATTTGATTTCAATCTTATGTAGAAGCCGGTGAAGATTTCGCTGATTGTTTAGGATGACGGTGTTAAGTAGAAGGGTCCAAAATCGACCATGTATGATTGAATGCGAAAATTAATTTGAATGTGAAATCTAATTATACATTTGATTGAAATCAATTCCAATATTTGATTTCGCATCCTAACATTTCATTTTCACAAAATATTGTAAAAATGAAGATGACGGTGTTAAGTAGAAGGGTCCAAAATTGATAGTTTAGGATGTTTCAGGTCCCTTACTGATTGAAAATATCTTTTAGGTCCAAAATTGATACTAAACTTAACTTTCGGGTCTTGCATCGATAAAATTCCAAAAAAAAAACGATTGAAGTTACTTTTCTGGTTGTATTGGATGAAATTACTGTAGATGGTCATTTTAACTATTTTATAATATTTTTTTTATTTAAATAATAATAATATATTTTAATTTTTTCTATAGATTAGCAGAATCGGTCAGTCCAACCCCTCCAGCCAAAACCTCAATTTTTTTTTTCAGTTGGCTTTAAAGGATTGCCTTGACTAAACCATGGGTCGCACCATTCACAAAATATTTACCATAATATTAGAGAAATTCTTCATCATGAAGAATTTCACTAATATCTTCAATCAATGTATATAAATATGAACTTCCAATGCCATTTTCCAACATTGATGTAATCACTTGCGCATATATCTCAACTAGTTTTGTGACGCGCGTTGTGCGGGGAGGAAATGCCCAATATAATTTTTCATTGCGTCAATATATATATGATATGTTATTGAATTGTAAACCCGATCTTTATGAAATTGTATACAAAATCTTTTTATATACATCAATGTTAGTGAAATAGAGAATGTGTTAAAGTGGTTGAAATTTGACAATTGTGACCAAATATCAAGAAACTTGTTGAACTACTGGGTTGTAATAGTGTAGTTGGAGTTTTTTTATTAGCATACCATTGCAATAAACATGTCAAGTACATAGTAGTCGAAACTCTAAAAAAATGAGCATCACAACGGTAAAAAGCAAATGTTACATGTGCCTTGCGTGAGTAATTGTGACAAAATCATCCCCATGACATAACACACGAATATAATTTCAACCTTGAACTAATGAACAATATAATCTAAAAAATAAGGGTTAATCATGATCGATATTGGAGTGAGTGGAGAACATGGACATGCGTCAACTATAGTTTTAAAAGTTTAAATCAATCGACCAAATATATGGTCATTTTATCTTGTACGATTAGGATAAAACAAATATTAATAGTGAAAAGCATACGAAATAAAACATTATAATAGTGGACCGTTAGCTTCTAATGTCATTCCTATTCAATTCGAACAACTTCCTTTCAATTTACACTTTTTAAATCTCCTACTTACCTTTTCAAAAAAAAAAACTCCTACTTAATTACCCGGTTTTGAGGCACAAGATCAGTCTCCCATTAAAGTTTATGTGCCTATAAATTTAATGGAAGCTATAAAGCATAAAAAGTCAAACCAATTTAATGAAACCCTAAACTTATGATCAAGTTACATGTTAATAATGATCTGCACTGGACCTGGTGAGAATATTTCCGCCAATTTTATCATGGAATGGATCAGAATAAGGTTGCTAGAGGAGTTCGTAAAGTAATCACATGGCTATTGTGTTTTAGTGAATAGTGTGATGCTTGATTCATAACGTCATATAACGACAAAGCTTTGAATTGATTTAGAGAGTCATTATATGTTGCACTTATTATAGTAATTCATGGTATGCAAGCGTTTAATCTCCAAAGCTTAAGTTGAATACCTAGAAAAAAAGTTTTTGCAGTTTGCTTATCAAGAATGATTAAGTGTAAAACCTTAAAAAATACTCCGTAGTATTGAAAATTAAACAAATGAGAATAATCTTAATCTAAGACAATTTACAATACATGGCAGGGATAATTTAAAGGTTATTTTGTACTCCCTCCATTCTAAAAAGATTGGTCAAATTGACTTCTCTTAGTCTATGGTGATCAAGTTTGACCAATGATATTTTTTAATACAAAATAATTTAATGTATGAAAATTGTATGAGCATATTCTTTATTACAAAATCTTTCATAAAAGTATAAAACATACTTCCTCCGTCTCATTTTGGTTGTCCTACTTTCCTTTTTGGGTTGTCCCAAAATGAATGTCTTGTTTTCTTTTTTGGCAAGAAATGTGTGGTCTTTATCATTTGACTTTATTCTACTCAACTATCAATCACAACTTTTACTTTTCAACCACTTTATTAATAGTTGTGCCAAATTGAAAGTGGACAACCAATATAGGACGGAAGTAGTATAAATTACATATCAATATAATACCTAAAATCATTGTCTAAACTTTAACATCATCGATCAAGAAAAGTCAAATTGGTCAATCTTTTTGGGACATAGGAAGTATAAAATAACTAAAGGGCCTTCGGTGTTCCCTTTGGCACTACTCCTCAAGTGTATTGATCAGACCATCCAGAAAAATGTTAAATTGCTCAACAAAAATCACAAAATTTTGACAAAATTAAACATGACTCGATTATCATCAACTATACCATGACTCGATTAAAATCTAAGTAAAATAAGAAAAGATAAATAAAATGTGTTTTTTTTGTATATTTCAAAGAATCTTTTTGTATATTATGACATAAGTTGTGCTTTTTAATAGCCATTTTTAATAGCCAACCATCTGATGATTTTGTATCTCATTATGAAATATTCGCTATGCAATAAATTGTATCTCTCCCACCTCTTCATGTGCATGATACTTTTTAGTAGCATCATTGTTATCGTTCTAGTAAGTTTGGTTTAGAGCCTGTTTGGTAACACTCAAATTGACTGAATAAACTGATTCCGTTGAAATTTATGAAGTTCTAGCTGAAGTAGTTGTATTGACCGATTCTGCTGATTTATGAAGAAATTATATTTATAATATTTGTTATTAATAAATATAATAAAAAATTATATGAGAAGGTAGTTAAAATGATACTCTACAGTAACTTCAGTCAATACAGACAGAAAACTAACTTCAATCTTACTTTTTCTTATTATTACGCAATTGAGCGCGCGAAATAAAAAATAATGTGTTCGGTGAGAAAACTGACTGATAAGCCTGATAAGCCGAGAAAAAGGGACTACCAAACGGGCCCTTAATATATTTTTAAAAATAACAATTGAAAAAGCATGTCTGGTACACAGCTTCATATGAGATCAAATATATTTTTGAACCTCAAACGAAGTAGATGACAAATGATAGACCAACTTGTGGTGTCTTTGTGAACATATTTACAAACATATGGCTAGCACACTAAATTCCTAGTTGGTAAAAGTTTAATAACTAATACGAGTACTTTGAAACTCTAACTCGGTATATGTATCTATATTTGTTTCAAGCATGTAGAATCAATAAAACAAGCATAGCACCTATATTACAATTCATTATACTCCAAAAAATTGAGATATGCAGCTTGAATTCGCTCCTATAGAGTTCACTAAAAAAGAACTAACACTAATATTATAAACTTGTATGCCTAAAACTTTACCTGCTAGGTAAACTTTTATAAAACTGGCTTCCCGACAGCTTAAAAATAAGAGCAGCTGTTAATATAAGAAATCATTATAGAATGAGCAAAATAGGAGTAACACTAAACTCGTAACAGAAAACTCACGTGTACTAATAGCAATGGACCAACAAATACGAGGCTCTAAAGATCTAAACCAGCTCTATTATTGGATTCCATTTTTTGCGTACAACCTTCCATGTCCTTCTTCCTAAACTAAGGCCATTTCATTTTCTTTTTAATTGAGGCGAATGTAACTGCATCGTATATTCATCAATTGCAAAAAATGAAGGAATGCAAGCAATTAATGAGAAGGATCACGTTACACTTAAGAAGTTAATTAAATCATGCAAAACGATACATGCCAATAGTAAGAAACGGAAAATGAACACTACTTAACGGACTGAGATTTGATTACTTGGATCAAGAAACGAGTGCACAATAAGTTAAGCTAAAGGAACAACTTATTATTGCTTGGATGTTACACCAACACATTTTTTCTCCCTAAAATACCCTTACCCTGGTTCAAATGTTCTCATTTTCAAATGGACCAATCCCCTCCTTAATAGCACTACAATTCATAATGATCATGGTTGAAAAAGGGCATTAAGGCATTCCGCCCCTGGTTCAAATGTTCTCATTTTCAAATGGACCAATCCCCTCCTTAATAGCACTACAATTCTTGGAAAAGAATTCCCGCTCACCAGGCCTCTCATTTTCATCCGTAGGATTTTATAGCACCTAATCTACGGCTTCTAACTTCCTTCCTTCTGCGGTTCCTTCTACGCCTCAAATCTACCGATACGCCTGAAATCATATCATCGGAGTTCCCATATCATCCCTATCGACAATTCTTCTTCTCAAATCTGAATAACCTCAACAAATCAAGGTGCTGCTCCTTCCCAGATCTTTTGATGCTCTTGATTCCTTCTACATCTCACACCGGCCCAACGCCTGAAATACCTTCCCTCACATCATCCCCCGCTATCGGCGCTCATCCAATCCCCCGTCTCAGAGTTACAGGCTACTGGTAATCGTTCAGATCCCTTTCATTCATATAATCCCTAGATAGACTAATTCTTCTTTAGTATGGTTTTGGTTAACTCTTCCTTGTATTTCTTCTTCGTTATTTGTCGAGCATTTGCCCTATAGATTCTAAAAAGATGTCATCCAGACAATACTTTTGACTTCCAATAGAACCAATGGTCTTAGTGCATTACATGGACTATGTGCGTACTTCTGTGTGCCCTGCATTTTCTGAAAGAGTTAGTTTAATTTAGTTTCCTAATTTGAGTTAAATAGTGTTCTTCAATA